TACAGCCTCAATGTCTCCACCGAGGCCATAGTGATATGTCTGTTGCTCTGTAAATGGAATACAGCAGTGGGTTTCTGACATTTTGGGACTGAGATACAGCAAGAAGTACATTTTACATTGGGTCCAGTGCACATGTGAGTATGAAAACACACATATTTCATAAAACATTACTTAACCCTTACTAAGAGAAATGCCTTCTAACATTGCGTATTCTATTTCATTTAATTTCAAAAAAAGGAAAGAAAGACATTTATTTATCAGCCTTCTAACGAGATCGGGACAAGCGGCACTAGAATAGAAGAAAAGTTTATTGTTTTTCTCCTACTGTGCTCCTAGGATGTGCATTTTACCAAAACCTCCTGACAAGTCTCCCCAGCGCCATCTACTGTACCCTCTGGGTATTGCAGGTGCCTTTTTTTCCTGGCACAGAGATTTTTTAAGGATGAGATTAAATCAGAAAACTCTACAAACCAATATGTGCCTCCTCCCCCAAAACAGAAACAGTTCTGAAATAGTTTAAGGAGAAGTTCAGATGAATAGCTAACACACAAACCCGGTTTTGAATTCTAAGACCAAACACTTGACACCCAAGTCTGAGAACATCCAGCTGACTGGAGCCTCAGGAGCAAAACTGGGAGTGTGATTGGTGGTTTTCAGACAGTGACAAATTTAAATTCAGGACATTCTAGACCAGTGCTTCATGAAAATCAGCGGTAATCTATCAAACACTACAGTTGGGGAACTACTGCTCTGTAGTCCTTTATCAAACCTATGTCTGCAATTGTTTTTTACTATAGTCCTTTATCAAACTTATGTCTGTAGTTGTTTTTTACTAAAGCAACTAGCAATAAGAGTGTTTACCATTCCCTAACTTACTCCAAAAGCTATTCAAGATGACACATAATATTATATTGTTGTAACACAAACTAAAATGTAGAAATCTCCTTTGTTATTTTGTGAATGATGCAGAATTCCCATTTTGACAAGTCATTATAGCTTATGGAATTTAATTTTTATGTTCAATAGAAGTGAATTTTCCCTACCAGCTTGCCTAGACAGTTATTACTTTGCATTTATATCTGGCTGGCATGTGCTTTTGATACAAATACATTTGGAAGAAATTCTGTAATTTCTCTAAGTCTGTTTAAATGGTTGAAAAAGACTATGTGCTCATCCAGTAAAGCCAAGGAAATTGACTTATTATTTTTACCCTTGGCTTGCTACTGAGACATGTCCAGCAACTCGAATTTCCCCAAAATATTTTATGTGTGAATATAAGAATAGAATGTGGGAAATGGAGAGATTTGTAACAGTTTCAGCCATAAGTCAAAAGTTGGAATTTTATGAGATGCTTTTAATTTGAAAGTTAAGAGAAGAACAATTAACTTATTGAAGTCTAAGATTTTTTTTTTACTTTATGAATGTAAACATTGGTTTTTTTCCCCCTAAATGATTTGACATTAACAGGATCCATAAGTGAGGATATGGGTCAAAGACACAGAGAGAAATCATAATGAGATGCTGTATTCCTGTAGAAACTGTCCCAAAAATTAAAAAGTATCACACTAGGGCTACTCCTGCTTTAAAATTATGTTATCATATATAAGTCATTATTAATTACCCAGAGATGCCTGGCGTTCGTTATATCTTCAGCTTTCAACTGCTAGTTTGAGGAGGGCTGAAATTTTTTTTTTTTGTCAATCATTAATCTGATTAATATTTCAACAACAAAGTCAAGAAAGGGGGTATAGACCAAGAGCTAATGGCTTTAATAACTGAGAGCAAAGCAACATTCAATGGACCTAACTTGCTCCCACACTGCCAAGTGTTAGGACAGGGGCTCCGCTCTCTCACAAGTCTCTTCTTGTCTTGAGACGTTTTCTGCACTCACCTGCATATGATTTGTGAGTCAGAAACTTAACTGAGACATGCTGAGCATCCTTCCTGGAGTAGAGCAAGGGGCTGTCCCATCAGGCACCTGGAAGGTCATCATTTATTAAAATATGTTTAAAAAAAGTAGTGTTTGTCTCACACTGACTTCTTGCCCCATTGCACCATCTTTTTGTTTTGGTTTGTTTCTAAAACAACAGTCAAATTAAAATACCAAATAGGGGCCAGCCAAGTGGCTCAGTTGGTTAAGAGCTCGCTCAAGTTTGAGCTCTGAGCAACAGCGGTTCAAGTCCCGGCCCAAGCTGAGCTGCCGCTGAACTGCCAACAGGTAGCAGGATGGCTCAGTTAAAAAACAACAGCAACAACAAAAAATAGCTTTAAACACTAACATTTCATCTTATAACCTGGCAACTGCATCACTTTAAATATCTGTATGAAAGTTTAGCTCAGTTATAAACACCTGGGGTTTACCCATTTGCTACTAAGCATGCCCATAAAAGTGTTAGTTATATGTACCTCTGACACTTTGAAGTGACAAGGTGTGATGTCACAGACGCTCTCGGTTATTCAATAGTTGCCCAACAAATGCCCCATCTTCCCTGGGAATTGCCCATCCTCTCTGTTGCCTTCATTCAAGACCTACCCAGAAGACAGCAGTGTGTTTTTTCCAAAAGGCCAGGTCAAAAATTCTCTCTATGTTGTTCAGTGTCTGCAAGTTAGTTAATGAGACAGCGGTGTGCCAATCAAGCAGCAGGCCCGACCAGAGCACCCAGGCTCTCTGGTGCCTGGAAGGCTGGAGGGAGCACAGAGCCAGGCTGGGCAGAGCTTTCTCTAGGGACCGGAATGTTAAAAGATGAAGACGTGAAAACAGGGTGACAAGGTTAAGGCTTATTCTCAATGTTTACATTTAATAAAATAATGCTTTTAACCAAAAAAAAAAATGCAACAATGTGATTGTGCTCTTCACAAAATAATTACAGGCTGTATAAAGATATTATTTCGTGGTGCAATTTTTTAAGTGTGTATATGTCTAAGCTTACATGAAGATAATTTCAAATTTCCAAACTTGAGACCCTTTTTCTATCTTACCCCTCCCTCTTTCCCTCTACTCTGGAGGACACTCAAAAATATATGTAAGATTTCCTGCCCTAGAGGAATCCAGGTCTGATTATCAAGAAAACACCAACATACACAAAAACAGCAGAAATCACACAAGACAGAGTAAAATCGAGTGCTGAGCTGTAGAGCTATAGATCCTAAAATACAGGGTGGCTGGGATACACAATTAGCCAACAACACATACTAATTATGCAAATCAGGAGACTAAGTAAGGGGAAACAAGGAAAAGGGAGTTGAACAGCACCCCGTAATCGTGATACACTAGAACTTAAGGTGAGATTTGTCAATTTGAAAGTGAGTCAACTTTCAATCTGCAAACTGTCTTTACCAGCCGACCAGGACTGCACAAAGCTCCAGAAGGTTGTCTTCAAAAGCTTACAGGGAGGGCCCACGGCCAGACTCCGCCGCCCACTGAGCCACCTCTCCCTGCGCCCCCAGGTGCGGCCAGACTCAGGGGTGCCTCTGTTCCACCTGGCTCGGCTTTGTCATTCCTAACCAGCCGAGTCAGCGCAACTTTCAAATGGGCCGAGCCAGGCTGGGTAGCTCTGGGGCTTTGTCTCTTCATGAGCAGACACAACTTAGACTAAGACTTAGAGCTAGAAGGTGGGGTGATGACCAAGGAACCAGGCTCCCGTGAGTTCGTACAAGACCTGCTGAAGTTGGCCCGTGACGATGAGGGCCAGTTTTACAAGGAAAAGTCAAAACCTCACACTCACTGTGGCAATCATGGAAATCCATTTCTGAGGCCAGATCTGACCCGTCAGGATGAATTATCATCAAAAAAATCTTTGCTTAACGTGGACCTGACCCAAGTAAAGGCGCGCACGAGAGCGAGAGCCCGCGCCTTCACTCCAGCTGCTGGGCGCAGAAACACTAGGCCGGGCGTTACGTCCCCACGCGGCCTGCTAGCGCAACGCCACTTATCCATCCACTTGCTTTGCGAATATCCACATTCCGTCACCTGCGTCTCAACACGTCAAACTACCCAACCCAATGTGAAGCATGAGACCTCATAATACGCGGTCAGACTTGCCGAGGAGAGCCGAGCTGCCGAGGCATCTTCTCCGGAAAGCCGGGCACTGCACCCCTTCCGTGGCGCGTGTGCAGTGGTCAGGAGGGTCGTAGGCTTCATTCGTACTCCTTCTTTCCTTTCCGAAAACTCTGAGCCTCCCTCACCCCAAGTGGAGTCACCTGCTTCCGATTTCTCCAGCGTGGAAGGAGGAAGAGGAGGGCAGGGCGCAGGCAGCAGGACCTGCACGTCCAGGGCCCTTGGCACAGCCAGGCTCGTCTCCCCTCCCTCCCCCGCCTCTCCCCCACCTCCGACCCTGCTCTCAGGGTATTGTTCAAAGTGATCGAATCAAATAGGGCATTCAAGGAGACGGTTGTTGAATTTTTCAGAGGGGGAAGAAGCAGGGACTTGGCCAGCACTGGTGGCGCCACCTCTTCACCCTCTTGCCCCCAGATTCCAAGGCTAGACCTGCCCTGGGCGACCGCGCTGTGGCAGAGCGCCTCGCTGAGGCCTGAACTTTAATCTTCAAATCGTTGCCTGTTTCTCTAACATTTATCTTTTCAAAACTAAAGCAGAGCTTCAAATACAATAATGCTCTTGAACGAGGTCAAGTAGAAATAACAGTAATAGCAACAACCTGTCCTTTAACCCCACCTACCCCCCCACCCCCACCCCCAAAAGCAGAGAGCCGAGGCCTGGGCTCTGCGTCCTCCTCAGACACTGACCCGAGCGCCGAGGAGGGGCTGTGCTGGGGAAGACGTCCTGGGGACACCCAGGGACCTGGGGACACTGGGGACCCTGATCTCCAGACCAGCGGGGAAAGCTCGGGGGATTCGGGGACCTGGGGGGAACTCTGGGGCTGGAGGCCGGGACACCCCGCCCGCAGCGCTGGGTGGCGGGCAGCGAGGAGCCGCCCCTCGGTGACTATCTGAGGAGCCCGGGGAGGGGGCGGGGTTGCCGCGCGGTTAAAAGCCGCCGCTGGAGCTGCAGGTGCCAGACCCAAACGCCCGCGTGTCGGCTCTCCAGGCCACGGCTCCCGGTCGGCAGCTAGCGCGGAAGCAGCCGGGTCAGGACCACTCGGAACCACCCAGGACCCCAGGGAAGTCCCCTGCGGACACCGCCACTCTCGCACGCTCCCTTCCGCTGCAGGTGAGGCTGCCAGGCCAGCTCTCCGGGTCATAGCCGTAAGGCCGGAGCCGGACTTTCGGCACCCTGGGACCGCCCGGGACTCTGGGGCCTAGGGGGAGGGGACTCAAGACTGCCTGGGGCTCTGGGACCCGGGGGTGGGGGGGTTGTGTGTGGAGGAGAGGGACCAGGCGCGGAAAGGGGACCCGGGACGGTCGGGGGCTGTGGAGATACCGATCGAGTTCCCCGGGTGGACCCCACACGCACTGAGGCTCCTGCCCAGTCCCTGTACCAGGCAGTCGCGACAGCTGACCTGGGGGGCGGACAGGGGGTGAGAGCGAACTTGTGGAGAGGAAGTTTCTTCCGCCAAGTTCTGAAATTAGAGTCAGGCTATTGAGAGGAGGGGACGTGGCGACACCAGCGCGGTGATCGATCAGGACACGCGCTCGAGGGAAGAGAGGGGACCCAGGACAAGTCTCCCGCAACGCGATTGATGATCGTCAATAATGTTCCTCCGGGAAGTTCTAATCTGCTGTCACCAGGAGTGTTTAATTGACCGAAGTCTCCGCTTAGAAGGAAAGCTGAATTCCGTTTAAGTAGGAGCCCTGCCTGGAGGAGGTGACCTTTGCAGAGCAAGTGATCGTGAAAGGGGAGCCGGAACTCCCTGCCCCAGGCGCCGGACACCGCAGCCTAAACCCGAGACACAGTTTTCGTTGCTGCTCTTTTTTCCTGAACAATCCTAAATCCTAGAGCGTTGGTTTCTAGGTGGTGTTTTTTAGCTGGAAGGACACTTGTTTACAGACGAGGTCCGTGGAGCTGAGAGAGGACACTTGCTCCCTCCTGGAGGGGACATCAGCCTAATCAGTGTGTGTTCTCCAGCATCTTATAGCTGGACACCTATGGCCATTTATTTGGAACTGTGTCTCAAGATGTGTGGCGACAGCCATGTCCCCATCTGCCCTCTGAGACCATTTCACAGCTCGAGTGCTAAGTCAGTCACAATTAGGCACCTGTCAGAGGGGTGGGGCGCTCTGTGGAGGCAGCTGGTCAAGGTTCGCCAATAAAAAAGGAAGGATTTGAGAAGTTAAGTGTGAAGAACTGTTTTTGCCTTCTCAGGAGCCGGGTGATTCACCCAGCGCCCTCCCTAAAGATCAAAACCAGCTCCTCACCCCGCCTCTGGCAGAGCTCCAAACAATGAATGGCAGGGGTGTGGGCCGGTTGGTAGGAGCCTGCCTGTGACCCACCTGCTCGGTCAGGAAGGGCAGGGAAGCAGCTCCAGGCTGATTCCTTCCTGCTTGGTTAGCCCATCTTGATCTGTTACCCCTATCGCATTTGCTGATTACATTTTAATTTGCTCTTCTTCCTGAAAGGGTCTATAAACAGCTCAATGGAAAGCTTTAAAAAGCAACAACAATAATATAGGGCTTTCTGTAGTTTTCTTTGCTGGTGATGATTGGACTCGTTTATGGAAGACTGTGGGGTCTGCATTTGGTACTTGGGAAGAAAGCAAAGGCATAAGCCCCCTCACCCCCTGATTTTTAGCCAAATGTACTATCCACAATTCATTTCAATAACTGTTCTGTTTCCACTTAGTAAGTTCCAGTGAAACAGTGGTTAAACTATGAATTTGGTTCTGCTGTTGGGGCAAGACTAGACTGAGATGAGGCCTTCATCAGGACACCCCTAGGTTCCCCTGAGGACCTCCAGACAGCCTGGATTTAAAGGGTCAGGGCTGAACCCCGACTAAACCACTGTTTTTTCCAGTGATGCTTCTCTATTTCAAGCCAAGTGAGGCAGCATGTTTCTCCTGTATATTTCAGTCTTACGTCACTTTCGTGTCCAGGACCCTTCTCCATGTGTGTGCTGCCCCCCGACCAAGGTGGCGTTGGATGGTTTCAGACAGACCTTGGTGGCCCCGCCTGAGATGAGGCTCGGTGATGAAAGACCAGCATCCCGAGCCTGCTGAGAAAGTCCACGGGGAACAGGACCCAACTTGCTCAAAATGAGGGGAGCATTATGCTTTTAAGTAAGAGAAGAAGAAGGATTCGACTGCCAGCTTAGAAGGGGTGGAGAACAGATTGCTCATCAGGATGTTGGAGAGGTGGAATCTTGTCTAGAAGAAGAGCTGATTGAGACAGATGGGTGTAACTCTGAATAAGTGAAGACAGTTCATATCCTGGGAGGAAGAGAAGGCCGCTGGCTCCTGGCAGACTGATCCACAGGCTTCAAATCCCTTTTCACTAAGTGGTGCGTTACCCCAGCAAGCTTCAGTTTCGGACTTTAATATTCAGCACAGTGACGTCACCTTGTGTGTGTGTGTGGGGGGGGGCGTCGCTGGGAAATTGCAGAGTGAAACTTTCTATTTATCATACTGTGCCTTTTTAGAAACACTTCTAAATTAAATTCATTGCCCACAATAAAAATGCACAGTTGCAACACTTATCCAAGCAAATAGCCCTGAGTACTAACCAACCAATCAGTCCAGCGTGAGTGAGGACCACCAGTCTGTACACAAGCCTTTCACAAAAATCTATGCGCACGGCAGCTTTTCTCCACGGACAGAATGTTTCCAACCTGCTCCTTTTCATACAGAAAAAGGAAGTGAGGCCCTTTGTGAAATTTTAACTTGGAGTGCCTTGGGTGACAAGCACTTCAATGCCACACCCTACATCAGTGACAAGTCACTGAAATAGTTTAAGGAAGGTGGCTCTGCAGGGAGATGGGGCCTGTTGGCCTTCACAGCAAGGTTGGCCCAGCTAGTCTCAGTCCCATTGCTGCTGTCCGAAACGTAAGGCTAACAAGCACGTGAACTTGACCTTCTGAATGCCCTTGGTCCACTGCTGAGTGGCCTGTGCCATGACGGGAAGACCCAGGGAGTGTCTGCAAGGGGTCAGTAACTCAACTAACTCATGCCTGCAACTCAGGAGCGCTTTTGCTTGTCATCCCGTCCCCACCCCTCCACCTCCCAGTTTTTATTATGTGCTAAAAGTTGGGTGAATCACTCAGATAATATTACTGCTCGTTGTTGGAGAATGCATAAACACAGGTTCAAGGCCGATTGGGAACTATCCTCTTAATCCTATCGCAAGCGAAGTTGTTTTCACCTTTTTGGTGAGGTTGGGTAAGAGCTGGTGTTTGCTCAGGAAGAGATTGAAGAGTGCTTACTTACTGAGACCAGAGAAATCTCCTGGATTCTGTCCTGATTAGTCAGTCACTCCTCTATTGTGTTCCTTCTGTCTTTCCCAGTGCAAACCGCCCAGAGGAGAAGATGGACTGGAGCACTTTGCAGACTATTCTGGGGGGTGTCAATAAACACTCCACCAGTATTGGGAAAATCTGGCTCACCGTCCTCTTCATTTTCCGCATTATGATCCTTGTTGTAGCTGCGAAGGAAGTGTGGGGCGACGAGCAGGCTGACTTCATCTGCAACACTCTGCAGCCTGGATGCAAAAACGTGTGCTACGACCACTTTTTCCCTATCTCCCACATCCGGCTCTGGGCCCTGCAGCTCATCTTCGTGTCCACGCCGGCCCTGCTGGTGGCCATGCACGTGGCCTACCACAGACATGAGAAGAAAAGGAAGTTCATTAGGGGAGAGATAAAGAGTGAATATAAAGACATCGAGGAGATCAAAAGCCAGAAGGTCCGTATCGAAGGGTCACTGTGGTGGACCTACACCAGCAGCATCTTCTTCCGAGTCGTCTTTGAAGCTGTCTTCATGTATGTGTTCTATATCATGTATGACGGGTTTGCCATGCAGCGTCTGGTGAAGTGCAACGCGTGGCCTTGTCCCAACACAGTGGACTGCTTCGTTTCCAGGCCCACGGAGAAGACTGTCTTTACAGTGTTCATGATCGCAGTGTCTGGAATTTGCATACTGCTAAATGTCACTGAGCTGTGTTATTTGCTAATCAGATATTGTTCTGGAAAGTCAAAAAAACCAGTTTAACACATCACCCAGCTCTTAGATAAAAGATAGAACGCATGAAAAGGATGAGGCAACCTGCACTTAGCTGTCAAAGCAGAGTCACCAGTATTTCCCAAGACCAAGATTCTCACCTTAGACACAATCATTTAAAACTCCTGTAGCTCTCACATGAAACACCAAATGCTTCAGGTGGAGCCCTTCTCTTCAAAAGTGAACAAACAAAGGCTTGCGCCTGTGCCATGATGGTTTTAACTCAGATCGGTGCCAATGAAGCCCCGTGCTGGTAGCGGTTATTGGTGCCTGGTAATTCCATGTTTTGAAGAAAGGATATCGGCATTTGTTTCTCTTTCTTTGAGGAAAGGAGATAAATGCCAGGTTCTAAAGAGGACACCAAGAATGTCTAGTTGCTCCTCTTAGGGTCCCCTTTGCCATTTCCCCCCTAATTAAAGGTAAACATAGAGAATCTTGGCTCTTTTATTCACTTTGGAAGTTTTAGTCTCTAATGATGGACCAGATCACCTAATGCTTCAAACTCTGTTATACTTTTGTTAAGTGAATGCTTTTAAAATAAGTTCTTTTGATCTCCAAGACATTCTAAAAACCATTGTATGTTCCTCCTATTTCAAAGGCTCAGATTGTGATATGCAAATGGCCTGTAGTTTGATACTGTCATTGAATTTAAATACGGCCTCTCAGTTATGAATACTCCACAGGGCCCCTGTAGAAACTGCTGTATGTAGCACACAAGCGCATCACCACCTCTATCCCGTGAGTAAGCTAGAAGTTCTTAGCCAAGGCTTCTGACAGCCAATGGCCTCATGTCACAACTTTGGGTGTAACTTTGCAGAAGTACAGACTGGCTTTGCCACCAACTGCCACCAACTACAGGCTGACTCGAGACACCCTGTGTCCCCTTTCAGCGATTGCCTTTTCCATGACTGTGGTAAAGGGTAGGAACACTGATTTAAAGAGTTTGCTCGGGAATATTTTGTTGCCACAGTTCAATTTAATGATGCAGAACAAAAGGGAGGGTGGTGTAGTTACTATTTTTAAAGAACAGATGGAAAGACTGGATTCTAAATTCTGTGATTAAAAATGAGTTTCATCTACTTCAAAGTTTGTTTGTTTCTCTCTTCAGCTTCCCATTTTTTTAAGTGCAAATAGAATTAATAGACATTTTTTAAAAATAGAAACTAAGGTTTAGGTAAATATTTAGCAGTACTATAGGACAAATTGAACCCTAATATTATCATTATGCCTGACATGTTTCCCCAAATTTGTTACTGGCATACTTCAATGGGGGTGGATGTTTTTCTTTTGCCAAGAATAGCATTGTAAAAACATTTTGTAACAATAAATAGCTTTAATTACATGCCTGTAACTAAAATAATTTTGTAATGTCTCAAAGTCATTTAAAATATTGAAATGTTACTTCATATAATACTTATTTAAAATCTATCAGTTTTCAATAGCAGATTTTGTATGAGGAGGTTAATATTTTAAACATCACAACACCAAAGGGGTAAGTTTCCAGGGTGATTGTCTACTAACCTGGGACTCTTCTGCCCAGTTACAAAAACGCTTCTGTCACCACAGTATGATGGGGGAAGGGAGAAAGAAAGCTGATTTCCACACAACCCCACGCTCACCTTAGGTTTCTGACAAACACACACATAGTGTGGTGTGCTGATGGGGTATGTAGCTGAGAGGGAGCTGAGCTGGGGTCACGTGGCCAGTTTGGCCCCTAGAAGAATCATGGATGCTGACACTTTAAAATGATGTCCATGGTGAAGCTGAGCTGAGGCATGAGAGAAATCCTGTAAGGTGTCTTTTCTATGGGATTGTCTTTCTATGTATTTGTATATAACCAAAGCTGGTCTTAGGAGACCGCTTTTTACTCCTTAGTGCCCCTTTCATGGGAAATAAGCCTGGTGGTTCAGCTGTCCCTGTGTGGGTGACCGCGTGCTGCCACCTGCAGGCTGGCTGGCCTTGGGCTCTCCCCAGACAGCCAGCCAGCACTGTCCTTCACAGTAGGAGCCTCCAGTCCCAGGCTTTCATGGTGTTTGATACCCATAACTATGAGTGTTTTTATGGAGAACATATGCTTTTTACATTAAAAGGACCCAAACCAGCCAACTTCCATCCAGGTGATAGAAAAGAAATGAGAAACAGTCCCTACCTCCCAACATGCTCTGAACACAGCCTGTTACACAACACATGGATGAAAATAGATGTGTTCACTCTTACAAGCCATGAAGATTGTTACTCTCAAGGTATTAAAAGCCTGGGTCAAAATAATTACAGACTACTTCTGACCACTTTTACGAACTTAAAGAGAGGTCTGGCCACGGGCCTACAAATTAGACCTTGAACTCTGAAAATGATAATCCTGAATCCACATCTCGAATCATCCATTTGCAGTTTGCAGTAGGTAAGGAAAAGCTCTGCTGTTTGTTTTTTAAGATTCCGCCAAATGACACGGGCTGGCCTGCAGGAGAGCTCAGGACGTGGGTGCAGCCCCGCTGGTAATCCCACCGTGATCAAGGTGTGTTAATAAGCTGGGAATCATGGTGTCAGGTCTTCCATAGATGTCACCTGTCAAGTGGTGGGTCGCAATCGGTATGAGTGGATCAGGCTTGGCTCAGGAGGACAATGTGATGTCCGCCAGGGTGGCCCAGGCCTCGCTGGCTGTCATTGCTATCACCACCCTAAAGGTCAGCTGGAGGGCAGCAGGCAGTGTGCTGAGAGGGCACAGGAGCTCTTTTGTCACCAGACCTCAGTTTCCTTATCTAAAAATGGGCTTAAGGAATACCTCCCAAGGTTAATGACAATCAGATAAGATAATTTATGCAAAAGCTCTCTACATAGTAAAGCCCTAAGTAAAATACTATTGTCATCTGTTTTCCATTAGCTACATCACAAGCTGGAAAGAGGATGGATGGCATTTTAAATAGCAATGACTCAAGCAAAACTTGATAAACTGGGAGCTGAAAAAAAATGCACACTTACACAAAGGCTGAAATAAGCACAATACAGGGAGAGGAGAGACTGCTGCACAGGATGAGAGGAATATCTGCGTGCATATGGAACAGCACAAAAGCTCAGGTGATGACAGCTATGTTACTTTGTGTTACAGAAAAAGCAACAGTGTGACACAGAAAGCTTTGGTGCATCTAGTTAGGGTTTCTGAACACCGTTGTGTTACATATGCTTTTCCTCCCAGCAGAACTAGGAAAGGAACAGCAGCCCTCCGGATAGGACTATCCCAGGGCAGTAGTAGGCAGACAGCATCATGCTCAAAGGCCGAGAGTGGACGTTCCAGTCACATAAGGGATGTGGACGGGACTTCCAGAATTCCCCTCGTGCATTTCATTCCTGCAGCTAGAAGCCCACACCAGAAGCGCTCGCGCTCGCGCTCGCCGCCTCCTCCACTGCTGACAGGGTTAAGGAGGCCGTCGCAACTTCCAGAGACATGTCACTTGTTCCGGTCCTGCATACCTTCAATTACTCATTCATTCAGCCAATATTTACTGAGTACCACTGAGTGCCAGCAACTATTAGGCACCAGGGCTGTGACAAAACAAAACCTGTGTCTTGATGTTGAAGGAGATAGACTATAAACACATCCCTGTAGATTACATAAGCTGCAGACACTGCAATGGAAAAAACTAAGCCAGCACCAGAGGAATAGGAAGTGACAGGGCAAAGGAAATTGCTATTTTGTATCAAGTGGTCAGGGAGAGCTTCTCTGCCAAGACACCTAAAGGAAACCAGGAAGCAAGCCAAACAGTGCCTCAGGGAAAGGTGTCCAGTGAGCGAGAAGGGCTGGACACCAGTCACCAGGACAGCGGGAAGGATGAGGCCAAAGAGGGTCGGGCAGTGTGGATGGACTCATTATGGCTGTGCTGAACTCTCCAGCAGCGGTCTTGCCATTTGGTGGACCCAAGTAAATCTTTCCACTTAGTGCCTCAGATAGCTGACAACAGACCCAAGTTCCAACACAGCTTATCACTAACGTAGTCTAACTTGTTAGCTTTCTAACAGCCTCATCACCTGTCCTCATTTTCAATGAAAAGGCTACCAATGTGACTACATAATTACAGAATTAATATATAACCACAATTGCATTGAGAAGTAAATGAAGACATAAAAAGTCAAAAGAGGAAGTCCCATTTGTCAGCCCTGCTCTGAAGTCTCAGTACCAACACTCCGTGTGTACACTCCATTCTTTGTCCTCCACCATCCCAGACACACACACACACACACACACACACACACACACGCACACACACACGCCATGTTGGTTCCCATTCTTACATTACTTTTCTGTGGTAGTTTCTCATTTAGTAATATGCCCTGGAGATCTCTCTAGTTAGTATGTATAGATCTACTTGTTTCTATTTCACAGATGTACAATATTCCATAGAATGATTGAATCTTAATCTATGTAACCAGTCCCAGCCCATGAATAGTTACATTGTCTCCAGTTTTCCCTCTCCTCATCACCTTCCTTTGCCACCTCCTAGCAAACCAGGCTTTCCCTTTGTCCTGCATGTCCCATAAATTTTCCAACCAAATTCAGGGCTTTACACTTCCTGGTTAAATTTCATTGCTGATTTGGGCTCATCCTCTGGCCCATCCAGATCTTTCTGTGCCCTACATTCAGTCCATTAGCAATTCCTTCCAAATTTGGCATCTGTCAGTTTAAATAGCCTGCTTTCTTTATAGTCACTTAAGCTAATAAAAATGTTGACTATGGAATGCCACCAAGGATTACCTTCCAGCTTAATATCAGTGCATTGACCAACATGTACTTAGCTAGAGTCTTGAGGACCAATGCACTTAAGCTGCCCCTAGTTCCCAAGTTCTCATCACAGGCCCAGAGTTCAGACCAGGAAACACAATTACAGGAAACAGCTGGGTGCTGCCACCTGCTGTCTGTGGAGGTTAGTGCAGGGCTCTGCCTCCTTCCAGTCCCCTGGGTCCACTCAGCCATGGGGCGCCCAGCCAAAACCAGCTCCCTCAGGACAGTCCTGCCCCTGCACAGGCACATCCACCCTCCATAAAGCCTGACCGCTCCCGTGGCTCTGCAGTTTGTATTTCCAGTTTGTGGGTATCGAGCCATTGTTGCTTTGTTCGGATAACCAGGAAAATAAACGAAAAACAAAAACACACTTACACATACATGACTTCCTCTCACAGTGGTACAAGGAGCGGTATGAGCAAACTCCCATAATCTCTGGCTACGGTCAGCGGATTTGCAAGAGGTTCTTACGGAGATTTACCCTCGGGTTTCTGTCACCTGGATTTTGGAATCTCACCACCTAGGACTGTAAATGCCACAGTCACATGACTTCTTACTCATCACTCATCTGTGTGGGGATCGCTTATTTTAAAAAGCATTTCAAATCATCATCTAATGTGAACACAGCAGCTCTTTAAAGATGCAGTTATTTGCTTTATTTCCCTTATACTGTTGGGGTAAAACTTCCACTCACATTTCTTAGGCCCCTTATTGATTATGATATCTACATTTCCAAACCAAAATGGAAGTGTAAGGCAATTTTGAATCACAGTAACTCAAAAAAGGAGGAATTTTCCCATTTGCCTGATGTTACCAAAAGAGACAGATATCACTTTGGACAGAGATTTACACACCCACGTTCACAGCATTACTGTTCACAATGGCTAACAGTGGATGCAACCCACATGTCCAAGCACAGAGGGTGGGTAAACACATGTGGTCTATCGTACCATGGATGTTATTCAGCCCTAAAAACGAAGGAGATCCTGTCACCTGCTACGTCATGTGTGAACCTGGAGGACATTATGCTCAGTGCAATAAGCCAGTCACAGGAGGACAAACACTGTGTGATCCCACCTACCTGAGGCCCCAGAGCAGTCAGATCATAGGGTCAGAGAGTGGAATGGTGGGTGCGGGGGCCGGGGGGAGGCTTGGGGGACTGGACATGAGGAATTAGTTTTCAATGGGGACAGTTTCAGTTTGGGAGATGGATGGAGGTGATGTTTGCACAATACCATGAATGTACTTGAAAATGTACTCTTAAAATTTGTTAATATGATGAATTTTATGTTATGTATACTTTACCATAATTTTTTAAAGTGAACAAAATAGAGATCTCTTTTCTCAAGACAGGAGACGAAGGTAGGTCTCCACTGAAAGACATGGACTGATCATAAAAAGTTAAAAAGTATTCTGGACTCAAGCACACATCAAACACTCCTAATGTCTGTGTCCTGTTTTATTAGGGCTATAATGCACCTAAACGCATTCCTAAGCCCATATGTACATTAACTGTAAACATTACTAGGACAAGCCTGAGCACACAGCTGAGTCTTTCCCTGCCCCGTCAGAAACAGTCACAT